CGGTTATGTACATAAAATGTTTTTATTTATTTTAAAAACAAGCAAAAATACATTATCGAAATTACATGATGTTTTTTATCTCTTGGCCGATTTATTCGGGTCTTGGTACTTCCGACAATGTGTGGTGTGTGCCATCGCCTCTGTTCAGCACAGTTTTTTTTATTAAATCTATAGATGGATATTTCAAATTGTAGACTAATCCTAGTTTCGCAAAAATGTCGATGAAGACTGTGGTATAATTCATTTTGTTATAACCGTTTTCTACCGACCTGTAGTCCCACGGGAACACATGATGATAATTGTGGTGTCCTTCTCCCGCTGATAAAAAGTTGATTAATTCGTTATTCGCTGGTCTTATGGTCCTAAGAACGAGAAACGTTATTAAAAACGTTATTAAAAAGGAAGAAATCAATAAGTAATTAATTTTATAAAAATAGTCATTAAAGGTATATTGAGCGTATATTTTTTCATAAATGATAAGAGATATAATAATACTTTATTATAATAATTATTTGAAGTATTATTTGTTTGACATTTATATATTGTCAATTAAACATATTAAATATGTGACCTTTTTTAGTTTTCTGTTATACTATATATGTAGATGCAATTACACACATTATAAAAAATTGCCTAAAAATTCAGACACATTTTTGTCTGAATTCTCAGATCTGGGTGCCTGAAAGTAATTTCAGACAATCTGTCTTAATTATCAGAGTAGTTTCTCTGAAAGTTCAGAATAATGGCGCGTCTGTCCGAAAAATTTAGAAATTCAGACAACTGTGACTAGAAATTCAGACAACTGTGGCTAGAAATTCAGACAATATTCTGTCCGAAAATTCAGACAATGTGACTGTAAGAAAACTTCAAACACTTTTGTCTGAATTGTCAGTCAGTAATTTTTTACAGTGCAGTTTTATACACAAATGGTAAATATCGTATATACGCGTGTAAATTACATACTTATCATACACTCAAAAAAATGATCTTGCAATAATAGCTAAAATTTTCTAGGTGTAAAAAATTAACTAAAACAGATAAATGATTAGCAACTGTTGTGATATTGCATATGTAATTACTTAATCAGATCACTTAGATGACAGAAACAGAATATATATCTGTATTGTTTGTGAACTTAAAAAAGAAAGTTTCTCTAAAGCGCCTATCTATATAAGATCAATCACGTGTTAGATCATGCAATGAATAACATTTAGCAATGGTACCTAAATTTTTCAGAAGCTATTGCTAGAACATTACTGCTATAAATTCTATATGTGACAAACAATGTCTTCACAGATACGAAAAATAGCGATACATTCTTGTTGCGATATCTAGAAATCTAACTACATCAGCGAAATATTTTTTTGAGTGTACGGCCTGGTACCCCATGCATGAGCGATGCTATTGATAGTCCATACGGTGTTCAAAGTGATGGTATATCGTATAAAAACTTGCGACATAATAGCTCTTCCCCAGGTCTCATTCCAGAGGTATACAGGCATTGCCGTAGGTAGGATAAAACCGAAAAGAAGTTGAAGCGGCAAGAAATATCTATAAAATCATAACAGCATTCAGAGTTTGTTTAAGTATATTCTATATATATTATTGTAAAACTAATTACTAAATTTTTCGAAATTTTTAATAAGTTTTATTAGTAAGATAAAAAAGCGACATATACTTTTTATCAAAGGCTACGACAGGATCAGACATAATATCTGACAGATCAAGCTTCTTGCTTTTCTCAATATATTCTGGATGTTCCTTCATCATCAGCCAACCGAAATGTGCAAAAAAAAAGCCGCGCTTCGTATTGTGAGGATCCGCGTTGGTATCGCAATACTTGTGATGCATACGATGGTATTTTACCCATTGGTACAATGCATTCTATAATCGTGTAGAAAAAGTTTATTATATACGTACGTACTCTACTCGAAAATGATTGTAACTAAAGTCCTATCTATACCTTCAAATTTACACATTATTGTATATAATGCAAGCAGTGTCGTTCAA